GTAGAATTTAATTTAAAAGACAATAAAATATCATGATTTAGCGTCACGAATAAGTATAAAAACTACACTTATCAAATTGCACTCCTATAATTCTGGATGACTGGCAGTAAGAACTTTTTATAACTAGTTTCTAACGATTCTGACTGTAATGAGAAGATTGACATCATGTTCAAGCAGTTTTTACTTAGTGCGGGAAATTAAATAGCAAATTAATACTTGGACACCAAATATAACGTGATAAAACCCAATGGAAAACATCAACGACCCCTATGCCACGAGTAAATCAATCCACTAATTATCCAATTTTTGTAATTTCGCAAAATTAATAAAAGAACAATCAAAAGAATTAAGAACAACTCCATTTGTTTCTTCTTCTTTTGACTAACACATCGGTTTGATTTTATCACTATTTCTCTATTGTATTCTGCCGCAACAATCACTTGGATTAAGAATTTCAGTTCTTAATTTTACGCCAAGTAGCTCGATCAAATGATGTGATTGAACATTCAGCACAAGTTGTTTTTGTATCCGTTACAAACTTGAAGAAAATATTGGCTTTGAATTTTTATCAATGAAGCATCATGCCCCGAAACTGTTGAAAAAGGACAAATCGCTTGAAAGCATCACGTCGCTTGAACTTGCTGAAAAACGGCAAACTGGTCGCTGCTGGTTCACATTCCAGTTTTCCAGAGCTTGACTTTGAATTAATCAATGAAGCATCACATCCTGTGTGATTTCTTGAATTCAACAGAGGCGCAGCTTGTAAGAGTAAGGACGGAGTAATTATTCAAAGCTTGATTTCATTCTTGATTAATTACTTTACTTAATAATGTGCAATAAAAGGTTCAAGAGATTAGCATAAATAAAAGATTTTTCTAGATTTGTAATAGGCTATTGTAAGAAAATATAATTTTAATTTAACATATCATTATATTTTCATTCTAAACAAATAGAAAAATATATGTATAATAAGAAATAAAGGAAAAACCATAAAATTCCTTGCTCAAATACATGTCAATCAGTTAAGACTCGCTATCGAAAAAAATCTGTAACTAAATTCTCATGATTCTGACAATTTATTTTCCAAAATATAACAATTAAAAATGAACAGGAATATTAAACAAGCCAACAAATAAAATTTGTAAAAATGTGATATAGTTTTTCAATAGCAACGATCATGTGTTCAAACCAAATTGATTTATTTTGCAACGTTGTTCACCATTCTCTCTCCGTATTTGACTGAACCATCATTTGATATTCTATCCTTGAATTCAGCGAGAAATTCTTATCTTCTGATCTGGCTTCGGGACTATATCTGCCATTTATTTCTACTTGGACAGACTCCTCGACTACTTTACGGTCAACTATGAAACGAACAATGTTCAAGCTGATGCTCGGATGCTCAGCCATACGTGCACCGCAAGATACAGCTTCCCAATCATCCTAGGCACCGAAGAAAATATAGTTATCGTATAGTCAACATTGCTTGCTGATACAAGAGATGTTCCACCAAAGCCACGGTCGACTAAAATTCCAACTGAACACGGTGCGTGCCCAAGAACCCTCTGATTCACAAACCTCAAGTCAGCTAGTGTCACTTCTTGTTGGATGTGTGGTAGAATATGTAAATAGTTGTTCAAGACAAGAAATTATATTAGTTTAATTTGCATGAGCGTAATTAAACTATAAGGAAAGAAAGTAAGAGGAAGAAAACGAAATCCGAGACAAGTGAAAACACTTTCTGCTTAAGATAATATTGTCTCACAACGGTGCTAACGGACTACAGCACTTGTCTCCCAAAATACAATAGATACAATTTGTGGTGGAAGTACTTCAAACCACAAGCAACAACGAACTTAGAACGATTTTTTCTCTTTGCACGAAAAAATAGTTTTAGAATGACTTATGGATAGTATTTTGCAAGAGTTTTTGGTATTATGCTCAATGCAAAAGATATGGGATGCATAATAGACGTCCAAATGGTCATTTATATAGAAGATGAAAGGTTGTGAGTAAAATGTCACACCCCAAACTCAACAATATTTACTAAAGGTCGTAGTATTTACTGTCGCCAGCCTGTTGCAGGCCTTTTGCTCGAG